TATCTTGATTGTTTATTTAAAAGGGTTGTACATGGCCTGGTAGACCGAAGCTGAAGCACCTCACGCAAGAGATGCATCCTAGTCAGATACCCAAACTACCTCACCTAGCTCCTTTTAATGTGGGAGAATAGCAGCTGTACTCTGAGTATGGCGATAGCGAGTGTGCTATCCAAACTTTCTAAACTATAAGAGAAAGGCCAGCCAATCTTCAGAGAAAACTAATTTTGGCAGTTTGTATCCATGATCTCATTCTTTCAGTCACTATCCAGAGCTCATTACCATAGATGAGGATGGGGATCAGCATCAGTGCAGAAGCAGCCACAAACCATCCCCAATCTCCCCTCTCCACTCACTTGTCAACAAGACCCGAAAGATACTTGCTTAGATACTTGAGGTGGCAATTTGTTCCTGATCTGGAGTGAGAGCTTCACCCTTTTCCAGCTGAGAATCGTGCCCTAAGACATGGGAGGTGTAATATATCTACGTCAATCCCGAAAGGCAGAGGCTATATTCTGAGACCGCCAAAGCCTTTCACCATTTGGTAATACTTAGAAATTCTGTCCATAAAAAAATGAACGGAAGTTGTGACAAAGACAAAGCTGGAAAAAGTTCAACACTCATCAGGAACAAGACCAGCTTACTGACAGCAATATGGACTTTCTGTGGCACCTCCCACAGGATCCCATGAAACACAGTCGAAGGTCTCCTCCGACTCCACAAAGCACATGAAAATGGGTTTTTCATGCATTTTTGAATATTCTTAAAAGGATAACAAGCTGCTCCAGGATCTCAAGACTGTGAGAAAAACTTTCAGTTAAGTTAGTAAATTTTATTTATATAGCTCACCCACACCAGGGACCTGCAACTGTGACTTCACCCCCAGTATCACACTCATCCTCAGCCTCTGCTTATCCTAGTGAAGATGTTGTCCAGTGACATTGAGGAGATCCTGAAAGGTGTGAAACACGCACCACTGGGATTCATTATCTGCAGCCTCCTTGGAATAGTGTTGTTCTTCGAGAAGTGGGAATTGAAGATCTCATGAACGAGGGCTTCTGATGTTCCCAGTGTACACTTACATACATTCATACAATTACTTTTTTCTATACCTAAGCACTTTTAACCGAACATTCACACACTTACACTCTGATGGATGCACTGGGGGCCACTCGAGGTTCAGTGTCATGCCCAAGGATATTTTGCCATGCAGGCTGGAGGAGCCGGGGATCAAATCACTTTCTTGTTAGTAGATAACTCCCTCTACCTCCAGAGCCACAGCTATCCCAATTTTGTAGCTCAAAATAAACTTTTGATTTTCTGCAGGTATTTGAGTTTGATACCATCAAAGAAAAGACATCGGATCAGGTCCATTTCTTCTTTGCCAAACTCAACTGCCGTCTGTACAGAAAGAAGGATGAAACCACTGAACTAATATCTGCCAACCGACTGTTTGGAGACAAATCATTAACCTTCAACGAGACATACCAGAACATTAGCGAGACAGTGTATGGAGCCAAACTGCTGCCTCTCAACTTCAAGGTAAAAATGAAAAGAACTCAATTTGAGACAACTTTGAACTCTGGAGCCTAGAATTTATGATGCTGCCAAATATGAATAATAATAATAGTCAAAGAATCGACATCCTACAATAGCCCAGAGTAGAGTGGTTGGTCGTTATGGCCTTTGTCTTTTCTTCAGGTTGATTTTTAAGAGGTCAAACACTTTGAGGTTTGACTTCGACCACACCGACTTACGACAGCTGTCGAGTTTCCAGAAAGCCAGTCGCACAAATACAAACAGTTTACACTGATGAGATGATTAAATGAACCAGCAAGCCTGGAAGCCAGTGTAGCAAATGTATTCACACTGTAAGCTTATAAAGATAGTGGGTGGACCTTTATATTGTATAGATATATAGTATGTATGTGAACTATTTAGTTTGAACATCTGGATGCTTTAAAATTCAGGAAAGTCAGGCTTAGAAAAAAACTTTGTACTGATTAGGATTGGGAGTGGTGTGAAACAGAAACTGCCTCGCTCAGTTTAAGGTATAGTGCACCTTTAAATAGTTAACATGAAAATCCCATTTTCCTTAAATCTCTAGGGAGGCTGAGATTGCAAATTTAGCATTATTCACAAAAGGACATTGATCTGTCTTACACCAGTTATACTGATAACCTTGTGTCTGTGGTGGTAGGAGAACCCAGAGAACGCTCGGGTCACCATCAATAACTGGATTTCCAACAAGACAGAGAACCGAATACAGGACACGCTGCCAGCTGGGTCACTGGATCGCACCACAGTCCTGGTGCTTGTGAACACCATCTACTTTAAGGTACTTGAATACCAAATACTGCAGCTCAAACTAAATTATTTTTGTCTGCATGCTCCATACATCATTATTGCAGGGTTTGTACCTGTAAAGTGCCTTGAGGCAGCTGTCATTGTGATTTGGTGCTATATGAATGCTGCAATTTGATCAAAATGTAAAAAGTTCTTCCTTGTTTTTACACTTTCTAATATCCTTATAGAAAGTAACCAGAAGGGAATATTTATATGTTAGTCAGGACCATCATCTCAAAACATGGAATTCTAATGGAAATATCGCTGCATTTCCTAAAATCCATATTACTTTTTTTTCTCACTCTAAAACACCTTACCCATTGAAACTTTGTATTTTAAGACTAAGATCTGAGATTGAATTAAGGTTTTTAAAGATGTAAAATAACTGAGGCATTTAATCTCTGGGCAGCACATTGGTGCAGTGCTTGGATTAGTGGTTGATGGGCGCGTTATAACTTCCACTTTCTTGAGTCTGCTTATGTCTCAGTGAGTAAATTTCATGTAGTGAGGATAAGGCACGCTCCAGTCCAGTCTATGAACCGGCTTTTTCTTTTTGGACATTTTTGATTTAGTGAAGTTACGAAGCCTTTTAAGTGGTTTTTGAACCCTCTTAATGTTTTCAGTACAGCCACATACATTTTCAGCTACAGGCACAGAACGCTAAATCGTTGGGGGTGATGGTATGGAGGGAAACACACAGCATAATTGCTTTCTCTAAACTCTGAGTATCAGTATCAAGGGATATGCATTCATTAAACATGGGTCAGGGGTCAGGTGGGAGTGAGCCAACAGGGAGCTTGTATAATATAAGAAACTGAGCACACATTCTGCCTCTTAGGGTCAGTGGAAGAACAAGTTTGATAAAGACCAGGTGTTCATCACAGACTTCCACGTCAGTGAGACTCGCACCTGCTCCGTCAACATGATGTACCAGCAGACCAAGTTCAGGTACAAGTATTTCCCTGATGATCATGTGCAGCTGCTGGAGATGCCATATCGTGGAGACGACATCACCATGGTGATCATCCTGCCAAGCAGAGGCACCACACTCAGTCAGGTAACCCTGACCAGCAGGTTTATTCTTCTGTGTTTTCAGCTCATCTTGTCTACTGTTTATAATTATGTTTCAGTTATAAAGGACTTAGAAAAATACAACCATAACATTTTCTGTCCCTTTCACACAACATGGAAAAGAGCAGTTTAAAAATGATAAGATAATTATAATTGCTATCAGACCTACACTGATGCTGCTTATTATTGTTTTTAATTAAACTTTTGGGCTCTTTTGCCTTCATTGAATAGTACAGTGAAGACACATAGGAAAGCAGGGAGAAAGCAAATGGGGAAAGACACACAAATAGTGGCCTCAGGTCAGAATTGAACTAGGGCCCCTGCTACTCCTACTAGTTATTTTACACTTAAAGTGGCCATAATACTAATTAAAAAGGAATCATTATTACATTAAGCAGAAATGTAGAACGTAAATAACAAATAAAAACTTTTGGTTTTTTGTCCTGCTACTTTTTCTTTATTTTTGAGCTACAGAAAAAAATGCCTTTTTAAAGATATGTAGTAATTTAAGAGTCAAATGTTGACTGGTGCATATTACATTGCTGTTGTACTTCACCACTGTGCTATGTGTACTTGTTTGTTGAGGTGGAGGACAGTCTGGACCTGGCAAAACTGAACAGTTGGTTGGATCAGATGAAGGAAACAACTGTCTCTGTTGAGGTCCCTCGCTTTAAGGTGGAGCACAGCTTCAGCTTGAAGGAGAAGCTTAAGGAAATGGGATTGACTGACCTGTTTAGCTCTGACAAGGCCAGCCTGCCAGGTACTTAAACCTGAACTTTGGATCTCAGTCCAAAGTCCACATCAACTGAATTAAAAGTGAATTTGAGTATTATTTTTGATTATACCATTACATAATCAAATATAATTATATACATGTTATTCAATTATATTTGGTCAATCTGGTCAAACACGATTCATTTGGTCCAAACATTTAACAGTCTGAACATGTTTGGAATTTATAATTAATGAAAGGAAGTTACAATCACAGCATTGTAAGATGCAACCTTATGTAGATCTTTCACCATCATACGATGCTGTGATTGCAGCCAAATTTCTGTGAGTGGTACTCATGGCCATTGATCAAAGCTCATTGATCAGTCATTTGACTGATGAAAAGAAGACACTCAAGACGAAAGGAAGACACTTTGGAGAGAGTAACTGTCCAAAGACCAAATTATATTATTTACTGAAGATTCATGTCATTTAAATCAGGTTTTGATGCAAACATAAATGGAGGAGATCCTGCAGCACGGTGTGTTTTGATGGCTTCTATTAAGTGGTCTGCGTTTTTATTCTGAATATAGAAGGGAAGCAGAAAAAGTCAACTTGACCTGTTGTTGGTTTTGATTATGGCAGTTATAAATGAACAGTTAAGAAAAACCACAAAATTCCTTCTGTGTTTCAGGTATGCTGGAGGATAGCAACTTTGGCCTCTACATCTCAGATGCCTTCCATAAAGCTTTCCTGGAGGTCAGTCAAATACTATCCACATCACTTAGAGCATGTTTTACATTATACAAGTCCTTTTTTCCAAGTGTGGGTTGGGACCATTGACTGTATTCGAATGATCAGCGTAGCTTCCAGGTCTGAGAAGCAAAGCCAATGCAGAAGTATAAAAAGAAATTGCTTTCCTATGAGCTTGCAGGTTTTCTTGGTTATTTCAGTCCTGAGATGGTAAAAAAAACATGACAAACTGGTGGGTGATGGCTACATACATTTCTACAAACACACTATGATCAGGACTAAGGGGTGAGGGGGTGCTTCTGTAATGAATGACCACATTTGAGTGGTAGTGTTTCCATTTTAAATGGGTTTTTTTTTTTTTAACAATTTGTCTTGAATTTCCAGACCTTTTCTGGAAAAAAATGTTTTTCCCTTAAATGTTATTTTGGGTCTTTTTTTTGTATATCATTTTGTTTGGTATTAAAACATAAACATCTAAATCCATATTGGTATCCTGACAGTTGATATAAATTCAGAGAGATGCATTTATACGAGTTCATCTCTCAGACACAGGTTTTATTTTTAGTTAATAAGCAACTGTGTGTGCTGTTTGCAGGTGAATGAGGAGGGCAGTGAGGCGGCAGCAGCCACCGCTGTGGTGGCCGTTGGACGCTCCTTCAATCCGTACAGGGAGGTTTTTACAGCCGACCGGCCATTTCTGCTGCTCATCAGAGAGTCAACCATCAACACGCTGCTATTCACCGGCCGTGTGGCTGATCCCTGCAACCAATAAAAACCTACACATGAAGCGATCACTGCTTTATTAAAAGCCGCAAATCGTAAAAATATAGTAATAAATATTTCAAAATGTAAATATACTGCATAACAATTCAGCACTGTGCTGTATGATGTGGAGCTAATGCAAACTTCATTTTACAGCATTATACACTACACACGCACTCAAGAGTGGGGTTTTTGATTTTTAACGTTTTAGACGTTTGTTCTGTACTTCAACTTCATTTCATTTAAATCCATCCATCTATCTTCTTCCGCTTATCCGGGGCCGGGTCGCGGGGCAGCAGCCTAAGCAGAGAAGCACAGACCTCCCTCTCATCAGCCACTTCCTGCAGCTTGTCCAGGGGAACACCAAGGCATTCCCAGGCCAGCCCGCTGGCGTATGGTGCCTTGGTGCTTCTCCCTCATTTCCTAACAAGACGTCACAGCAGTTAGATTTATCCAAGCTTGGGACCGGCGCCGGGAATCCACTGAGGATGGATTCATGTCTCCTCTTCCCGGTCTCAAATCTGTGATCAGGGTGACTTTAAAAAGATGCAGCTTTCAAAAGTGTTTCCACAGTAACTGATTTAAGTAAATAAATGCAAAACAAATGAAATAACAGTGTTGCTGAATATCTCTGTCTTGAGATACTCACCGTGGCTTCAGATGAAAAAGAAAAAGAACTGAACATGAAAAGAGACCACATGAAGGACAAGGAGCATCTGCCCTGTCAGCCCAAACTCAGGTTACTGAAAACCATCCAGATTCTCCACAAGGACTGGAAAAAAAACCCATCCACACCTGACAGAGTGCCAAGAAACGAGAGGATTTACATCCAATAACTTAAGATATTAAAGAGCAGAAAATCTTGACGCATTAAAATACTTTAATTCTGAGCGTTTTGCTGCAATAACAACAAACTTTTTTTTATTTTTATACATTTTTTTTTATTTTTAGTAGTAGTAGGAGTAGTTGCAGTATTCAGTTTGAGGCACTTCTAAACATGTTCATGGAAAACAGGTGAGAGCGTAGTGCTGAATTCCAGATGTGTGTGTCACGTTCACACGCGCACGTTTGTGAATGCTGCTGGAGACAGAGGCGAGTCGGTGGCATTTGTCACTTAAAGTGCTTTATTTCCTTTGAAGGAGATGCAACCTGTGAGTGATCTAGTGGTCATAGTGAAAGTAAGCATCTTCACATTTATCTAAACTAACTGACCTTTGGCCTCACATCCCCCCACCCTCCCACACCCTCCACCAACATGATTTAGCAATAGACATGCAACATAAAAGATGTTCACATAAAACCTTTCAGGTTCATCTACTACAGAACTTAAGTACTTCCTCTTCAAGAAAAAAAAAAGTACAGTATTAAAAGTTAATTTACTATCTAAAATTTGTTTACTTTGACTTATTTTCTGCATTGATATATTAGGATATACTCTGAGGAATCAACATTAAAGAGTTATTACGTGAATATAGTTAAATGATCTGATTCATGGTTAGGCATGTTGTGGTCAATGTTACTGGATTTATCCAGGTAGGAAAAAGAAAATTTAGACTGCACCTCTTACAAGAGAATTAAACTTTAGCATTCTGAATAAAGCAAACGAGCTGGAACCTTGACTGACTCAAAGACGTGAGGATCATGAGGAGGTTCTGCTGTTTTTCACAGTTTGAGGATGAAAGCGGATCGGAACATGAGAAATCACTGAGGAGGAAAAGTCTGATTTGGGCCGTCTGTGTTTAAAGCAAACGTAGCTGAAGTAACGGTGAACACTGCGATGAGCCTTAACATTTACTCATGTCGGACTCATTACTGCATCGCTCGTGTTGTTGAGCATAATGACAGAGACTGTCGTGTCTGTGACTCCAAGGGATTGGGCAAACAGCAGATACAGGCCAGTTTACAACATTTAAGAATGCTAGGCGAGGCCATTTCACCGCACAGAGGTTGGTTCAGTTGAGCACCTTCCCTCTTACAGTTCAGTGTTCACTACACTTCACAACCCATTTTGGGTGAATTGAGACACATTTGCTTGCTTTACCAAGTTTTTCTTGATATTTTTGCGTATAACTATACAAGTCTGATGTGCAACAGAATGATAATTTGAATATAGACTGAAATCTGTCACATCTATTTCCACTGGACAGATTGATGAAGATTGGGTTGTTGTTGGTGTCTTATAGGCAAACTGTCAATGCTGCATGTTTGAGCAGAGAAAGACTTGATTGAGCGATTCTCTTATGATCAAGTTTGAAATGCAGTGGTTTCTGAATGCAGCTCTAAGCCAACTTTTCCTACTGTAGATTTCTCAAGTAGGACCACCCTGAACCAGAAGGGAGCAGCTTGTTACCAGCAATAACATGAAATGATGTATTGCTCAGTGAAAACACGAAGTATTCCCTGCTTTCCTTCGATTCAGAGCAAAGAGGAGGAAGCAGAAACAGAACGTGAAACACAAAAAAGAAGGCCGATCTGTTTGTTCCTGGGTCTATGGTGGTTGGAAACCCCAAGTTAATGTCTTAATGCTGGAACAGGTCAACATGTGCAACTCGAATCTTTTGTTCTTTGTCAGAAATGTCTCTTTGAAGTACTTCTCATGATCACTGCTCTAAAAAAGATTTCTATACATTGGATAATTCCTGATAAATGTAAAACACAAAGTGAACCAAAATGAACCGGATTTCTTATGAAACACATGAAGAAACGCTCAGGTCTTAAATCGTCTACATGATGTCGGTAACTGAATCAATAGAGGGGCTGAATCCTGACCTGTGCAGAAAATATTATTGAAGGTGAAAAAGTGTTTGGGGCTATGCTTTCTGGTACTGGACTTTATATATGATAAAACAAGTATATGCATCTTGGATTTTACAAAAATGGTGGCACACCCATTTCTTTTAGGTTTTTTTTTTTCTTTTGGGTGGGGTTTCTCAGAAATAAAAGGCATTTTTGTTGGTCAATGGCCAGAAACAGCAATACAATGCTGAAACAGTCTATACTATGTAACTACATGCAGACCAATCTAGTTATTAACCCGAAAAGGCCCACTCTGCAGCAGGAAAGCCCTGTACCTGTGGATTTGTAATTCACGTTTAAATTCAAGAAGAAATAGCAGGTAACTGCCAACGTCTTCTTTTTAGCCTTATATCAACAAAACTTAAAAGTCCTCAACTGCTATAATACCTACTGAGTATGGATTACTGTAGGGTCTACCTTACAATATAAAGCTCCTTGAGGCGACTGTTGTTGTGATTCGGTGCTGTATAAACTGAATTGAAATTGAGACTAACAGTATTTTGCTAACATACATAACATAACACAAATGATGCAGGAAATAACACGAATACACAAATGTACTGTAAAGTCACGTGTTGGCTGCTGCTAGATGCGGGTTCAGGCAAATGACTCGAGCTGCTCTTTGTCATGTCACATACCTCCCAGCACGTTGCACTGTTTAATCTGTATAATCACGGCAGGTTTTTAAAAGTTTTTAATCAGCTCCTGATTTGAATGTGATCGAGCCATGTTGCCATGTACTAACTACCTTCCAAAAGTAATGTCCAATTAGGGGAATTTGTTCAAAGAATTTGATTATTAATTAGCAGCTAAAATCATTTGATTGTCACTTTATGGAACATGAAATATTTTATAAATGTGCTTTTCCCCGTTATTCTGTAGGGTACAATACACAGCACCTTGGGGTGACTGTTGAATGGAACTTAATTGAATAATGTTTGCTTAATTTTACACAATATTTCCTGCACGAGTCATTCTATTCAGCCCCTTTTGGTTGCTTCTAAAAGTCGTGATTTCTCTCAAAACACCTGCTCAAAGTCACGTTCCAGCCCAACACAGCAGACAAAACTTAAACATCTGTTAGAGGCAAGATCACCACATACTTATACACCGACCCAGACTGTGGGAGACATCCACACATTCTGCGGAAAGAGGTCTTGAGGTCACCATGCTCATTTCTGTTTCATATTTCCCAGTCTTGGTTTTGCCGACCTCTACGGCGACTCGTGAGGATGCCTTCCCTGCTGCTTTTTTTTTTTTCTTTGTTTACAGGTAAGTTTTCTTTCTGCAGCGTGCATACTGCACTGAGGTTTAGCTGTTAGCATACTGCTACGTGGGAAAGGTAAACATCCAATTCTTTGAATAAAAGAAAAGAGTTTGTATACCTGATATCCTGGTTAGCCTGAAGTGTGAGCCTAGCGGCAGTGGCTGCAGTGGCATCTGGGACAAAATCTCCAATCACTTGATTGAGGACAGAGCCGCTGGCTTCACTTGCATAAAAAAATTGACCATCCACTGAGAATCTGTTTCACAGCTCTGTAGAAGAAAACAGTAACAGTCCATCTGTGTGCTACCTGCCTACTCCTAGCTTGTTTACATTAATCATATTTAAAAAACAAAACAAAAACATCTTAGTAGTTTAAATACATTTGTCTTATAATGTGTGTAGATTTGTTATTGTTCTCTTGTTACAAAAACTTTGTGACCTTCTCGTTCTCCCTCATTGATAAGAGGTTTAGTTGTTTTGGCGTTTTGAGGGGCCCACACGGCCACGCCATCTTTCCTTTGGTTGCCAGATAGTCCGACCTGCTCCCGCCCGCCAACAGGTCAACTCTGATCACAGGAGGCTTCTGAAGTTCAGCTCCATGGCCTGGCCACTACATCCATCTGGTCTATCAGGGTTTGGCTTGTCAATATCCAATCAACGTTCATCCAGATCAGAACCATCTATTGTCAGTGACGCATTACCTCTACTGCACTCCGTACACAAAAACGAAGCTAAGGTCGGGTAACATGTGTTCTGTTGATGTATTTTGTGGTCTACCTTTTTATGTGAAGACTCCATTTCTGAATGGAGAGACATTTATCCTCAACAGTGTCTGAAATGTCCCCCCTTTCATGTCTATGACATCAGGAGTGAAGGTGAGGTCATCTGTGGCAGTGCTGCGGTGCTCAACAAGTTACAGAAGGATTTTTGAACTCTCACAAAACTAATATTTTTAACTGGTTAAATAAGGCAAGCATATTAATGTATTATTTTATGATCTTTACTATCTGGTAAAAAAAAACAACAAAACTTCAAGACATGTTGAGGAGGTAATTCAGCCATTTGAATCAGCTGTGTTGGATCAAGGACACATCTAAAACCTGCAGGACACCGGCCCTCGAGGCCTGGAGTTTCCCACCCCTGTTCTAAGGCGAGGTATTCCCAAAGAGACCCAAAGAGATCATTTCCCTTTTCCCTGGTGAGGTGTTTTTTTTTTTATATAATAATGCATTTTTTTTTAGCTATGTCAGTGGGGTCTGGCCCCCTTATATATATAAGACTTTCTTCCCATTTATATTGTTTTTTTAATCTACGAGTCATGTTTGTAGTTTTTTGTTGCACTACAGCTGTTGGAGCCACGTCGTCTCGTCTCTCTGTACACTGTGTTTACACAGTGTACAGTAGCGATGGCAATAAATTTTGATTCGACTTCGGTGTGCTGACTATAATTGGAGTCACTTCAGCAGACCTTTCTACTGTGTCGGTGTCTTCAATACCTGTGCGTCACCTGTTCTTCACTCTTAGTTTCAGTCTGACTTTTTTCCCCCACAGGCTTGTGGTAAGTGCAGTAGATTAAATGCGTCACTAACTGTCACACAAGATACTGATCGGGTCTTCCCAATATCTTGTTCTCCTCAAACAACAAGCTGTCTTCCATCACACCCGTTGTCAGAGCAAGAAAGTGTCCAAGAAAACTGAAGAAAAACAATAAATACATGTTTGTTTATAAAAATATCTGAGAAAAGTGACTGAGATCTCTGTGGGAGTGGAGCAGAGCGCTTCCTGGTGGTGCTGTGCTGCAGCTGTATTGCGTAGTGATGAGAGGTAATTGAGCTGTGTAGCTTATCTGAGGCTGGACAATGTCCAGTTTTCCTGCTGTGAGTTTGTTGGTGGTCAAGTGTGATCTAAAACCTGCTGTAGAAGCTGAGTTCAACTGCCACAGTAAAAACACTATTGTAAGGAAGTTCTATTCAATTCATGCCAAATTCATTAACCCAGTGTGACTGGAGTCCCCACAGACATTTTTCCATCCATTTTGCCTGCATGAAGCGTGAGAATCCCTCTCAATATTTGTTCTACGACACATCCCGTGTACATCCAGAGAAGCGGAAGGCTGATGGAGCCGTCCACATTTGATTCTCAGGGCCATACTTGTGCATACATACATACATACATACTTGTGACTTTATCACAGGGTCACATGAAAGCATGTAATAGTTTTCATGTGACACAAATAAGTCACATGACCTGTGTTGCATTCGAAGGGAATGGGATATACTACTGCATCTCCAAAAATTACAGTAAAAAAGGTGATTATTTTGGCAATTTCATTCACAATGGTGATTTTCATATTTTCTATATTAATTAAACACAAAGTCAATATTTTCAAGCATTTTTGAAGTTTGCTTATAGCTCAAGAAAATTAGAAATGGAGTATTTCAAACTGTCCGAGATACTGCACTGAGGTCTTTATCATTTTAGAAAATTTCTATTCAAACCACAGTATCTGTCTTAGTACACAATCACAGTCATGGGGAAGACTGCTGACCTGACGGCTCTCCACATGACGATCATTAATATCCACCACAAGGAGGGTAAGCCACAGAAGGTCACTGCTGAAAAGGCCGGCTGAGTGGAGAGTTTTTATATGTCAAAGGATAAACTTCCAGGAAGACGGCTGCATTAACAGAGTTCATGTTTCTATCTAGCGATGCCGGTGCAAATTTCCTTTGCCAACAGGACTGACCTGACTATAGCTCCACCACTACTACCACATGTTTGCCAACAATGCTATTACTCTACTTAATTGTCAAGCCAAATCACATGACCTAAACCCCACAGAGACTCTATGGAGTATTTTCGAGGAAGATGTGAAAACCTGATCCAAAAATCCACACGAAGTTGGCATCAGAGCAGCTTCAATAGGATCTTAGCAGAGCCACACTTCTCCATATTCTATTTTTGTGAGATGCACTAATAGTTAAAAACTTTGCATATAGCAGTTCAAAACCCCAAAATACTCCCCAAAGAAAAGTTTAGTTCACAGTGACGAAGGCAAATCTTCTCTCTTTTAAAATGCAGGTATGTAGGGTTTTTGACTATTCTCGATCAAAAATAATAACATTAAACATTTTCAGATTTTTATCGGACAAGTATATATTCATCTACACCTGCAATTCTTCCACTGGGCACACACGGGTGGCTATGACTCAAGAGGTAGAGCAAGTCACCCTCTAATTGGAAGGTCGGTGGTTCGATCCATGGCTGCTCTAATCTCCAAACCAAATATCCACGGGTAAGATATTAACCCCAAGTCGCTCAAATGTGTGTGACTGTTAGACAGAAAGCACACAGCAAAGTGTTTGTGTGAATTCGTGGACGAGGCAAGTTGTATAAAACGCTTTGAGTGCTCAGAGTAGAAAAGCGCTACATAAGAACCAGTCCACTTACATCGTCTTTCTACCGTCTCGCAATGCATTTTTTGATGGATGGTCATATTGTGAAACAGAAGATTGTGCCTGCAGTTTTTTGTGCTGTACAGTGAGGTATGTACGTAGTGTCAAAGTGTGTAGTGTAATAACTTTATCTATCCTGAATCGTGCCAAATGCAGGAAAATGGGGAAAGACCAGAAACTCCAATCACACTGGGATGCACCGTCAGCTAAATAGTTTTAAGTTTCTCATTGAACCTTTTTGTGCAACTATACCTTTTAACGCCATTATGGCACTTATAGAACGCATAAGATTATTATTATTACTACTACTATTATTATTATTATCATCATCCAACGGCTCCAGATTGTCTCAAGGCAAATATGAAGGATTTGAATTGTTTAACTGGCACTGAGTAGTTTGGCAAAGTCTCCACCAGACATACTGTTGTGATGCTGTGTTGTGGACCAGTAATACCTGTAAATATAAAAGTAGAAATCTGTAACATAAACTAGACGGAGGCAAACGAGAACCACTGAATTTTGTGGCATATGAGGTTGTTGGAGTGTGTGGAATTTCTTCATTTTAGCTTAATCTGTTCGGTTTAGTAGGTGAAGGTAGATGCGGTTTAAAGCGGATAAATCTCATTTCAGACTCTGAGGGGTCCTTTGACTTCAGCGGGTTTAACATCCTGTTAGCTTTGGTTACAACAGGATCATGCTGCCCCACTCACCCCCCACCCCATGTTCCTTCCTTCACTGGGGTCAGTCTGGTCCTGTTGTAGAAACAGAGGCTTGGGGACCCTCTCCATATTGCCCTCCAGCACTATTACCTCCTCCACCTTCAGATTCCTCCTGACTAGGGGAAGCTTCATCACTGGGACCACCCCTGGATGTAACTGAAGCGGTGGTAGTCTCAGGAGAGGCGCTGTGGGCTTCCTGGGGTGCACAGCCTGGGTGGTTCTTGCGGAAATGCTGGTTGAGGATGGCCTGGAAGGGGAAGCTCTTCCCACAAACATGGCAGTGGAAAGGTTTGTTGCCAGTGTGCTTGCGGATATGGTACTCCAGCTGGTCTTTACGGGTGTACTTCTTCCCACAGATGCGGCAGACAAATGGTGTTATACCCATATGTAGGCGCATGTGACGGTCTAGGCTCCCTTTCTGGTTGAAGGATTTGCAGCAGTAGATGCAGGTGAGGCGTGGATTGTAGCGGAACCAGCGATCTCCTACCTGCTCCCTCAAGTAGTCCTCATAACCGCCCATATCAAACGTTGTATGCTCCTCTCCCTGATGGGTAGAATGAAATGCAAAATTAAACGTTAACATAGTGGACACCATGACAGAATGAATTAAATAAGACTTTAGATCATTTTAGATAAACATGCCCTGAACAAAACTGTCCTCCTGCATCACGCTCTCTGTTGTCGGGCAAATTTGCGTTACCTGAGTATGTTAATGTCCGTAAGAAACTGCCAACAGTTTTCTCTTTTAAAAAAAGTGAAAACTTATTATTGTAGTGTCTTTATGTTACAACATAAAGCTCCTTGAAACAACTGTTGTTATGATTTGGTGCTATATAAATAAAACTGAATTAAAAATTCAAACTATAATAGAGTCCCTGGGACATCAATCATCTCGTCAACATAAAGACCAGATGTTGTTAGCAGTGCGTACGGGTACAATGAGGCCATACACACTACTAACCCACATTATGACGCAAGCCTGTGATGATATTTTTTATCTTTCATTTTTAGTGAGTCGAGCCCTCAAAGGGTGGATCAGTTTTTCCATTCACACTGACAGTTGTATCGTTTATGATAACGTATATCAGTAAAGACTTTCAACTTAATTGAATTCAATATGTGATTTAAATGTACCCTTATTGTTTTGTATTACTGCACAATAAGGAGATTTTAAAAGTCCTTTAAAAGGTCAGAATGGTTATTCAGCAGGAAAGGTCCAATCAAAAGTTTAAGACCACTTGAAAAATGGCAAAAAAAAAAAAAAAAAAAAAAATCATATTTTGCATGGTTAGATCTCAACAAGGTTCCAAGTAGAGCTTCAACGTGCAACAAGAAGAAATGGGAGAGAGACAAAGTGTTTTTGATGGTTTCCAATGTTACTGGAATAGCAAGCAGATCCCACCCGAGATGTTTTCTACGCGCCACAGTGGAGGGGGCACCATAATTGTCTGGGGTGCTTTTCTCTTAAATGGAACAATGGAGCTTCAGGAGGAGTAGGGGCATCAAACGGCCGCTGGCTATGTCCAGATGTTGCAGAAAGCATCCCTCATGACTGAGGGCCCTCATCTGTGTGGTAACGACTGAGTTTTTCAACAGGACAATGCTACAGTACACAATACCCACAATGCAAGGGACTTTTTCCAGGAGAATAACATCACTCTGTTGGACCATCCTGCGTGTTCCCCTGATCTAAATCCAACTGAGAACCTTTGGAGATGGATGGCAGGGGAAGTTTACAAAAATGGACAACAGTTCCAGACAGTAGATGCCCTTTGTGCAGCCGTCTTCAGCACTTGGAGAAATCTTCCCACTCACCTCATCGAAACGTTTGCATCAAGCATGCCGCAACAGATTTTTGAAGTGTCAACAATAACGGTGGAGCTACTCATTACTGAGTTCATGTTTGGAATGTTGATTTCTGTTTTAGGGGGGTTTTCTGGTTTTTTGCAGTCTTAAACTTTTGATCAGCTGTAAAACAGCTTAGTAAAAACTAAGCGTTTTCAATAAATTGTATGATCAAATTTTTTTTGTGTCTCACTCACATTTCTTCTAGTTGAATATTTAAGCTCTACTTGGAACTTTGTTAAAATTTGACCAAAATATGACTTTTTTTGCCATTTTTCAAAGATGTAAAAAATGATTATGCAGTACTTCAATGTTTGTTGTTATGGGATTCAGAAAAAAAACAGTGCTTTTCTTTAGGTTGTTGCATATCTACAGGAAGAATCTAGGGATCCTTTATCATGACTAGGCTGGTAATCACTAAATAGACTCTGTATCTATTTAAGAACCACTTTGTAAGCCAGTAACCACGAGCCACTGGGTTTCCAGTTTTTTTGTAAATCATTACATATTACTATATAAGCTTAGTGAAGTTGTATTTAATAATTAAATAACACATACTAACAGGACGCATATAAATAAAAAAAAAGTATTTATTATTCACTTAATATATCTAAATTTCTTTACTGTGTTTCTGTGTGATTTATGTCCACCCTAGAAGAGTCCACATTGCTCTCACTTTCAGTGTGAACACCGCACTTCCTCATTTGGCCATGAGTGTGACAAAACATTCCCAATAAGGTGTCAAATGTAACATAAGAGAGCAAGAAAAGGTGAAAGAGAGTGACAGGGACAAATGTGACAGATCTCCATATTGCTGACTCTTTCCTGGTAACTTGCTCCATGTTTCTTATCCATGGAAAAGAAAGAATTCTTATCCATGGATAAGAAACATGGTGTTTTAATAATTTCAGTTGTCTGTAAAAGAAAAAAAAAAAGGTTGGTCTCTACTGGCTTACTAACTATGACAGTTTGTGTTTGTACCTGTGAGCTTGGCTGTCGCAACTCATCTGCCCTGCTAGGAGACTCGCTCTTTGCTCTCTGACGTTCTGTCAGGACGACCACGCTGCCAGTGGGACTAAACCTGACATCAAAAATCAGTTAATTAATTTAAAAGGAAAGGAGAACAAAACCCACACACAAATCATCATCATCAGGTGTCTGCAGACCAGTCAGTGAAACATGGAGGAAAATCTTAGCTATGACTCACCTGTCTGTCTCGCTGAAGCTGGAGGATGGCTGGATACTACGGGCCCCCAGCGTTCCTACCGGTCCAGTCACCAGTGTACTGCGTCCTGATGTGTCAATCATCACCGTGGCCCCCTCTTCCACTGGCCCTCCCTCCTCCTGGTGCTCTTCTGTTCCAATCCATTCCTCCATCCTCTCTGTTTTTATCCTGATCCCATCCATGCTGCTCTCCTCAGCGCTGCCGGTCCGTTCTGGTTCACTGCTGGTCTCCACATACCACTGACCAGCTCGGTTGATGCGTAGTATCGGTTCTTTGCCTGCTCTTCCACTGGTGGTCCCTGGCCCTTCTAGCCCACTGTGCTCCACCGCTGGAACTGGGCTAAGTGGCTCTTCTGCTGGACTGACTGCTTCACATGGCTCTGCACCTCCCCGTGGGCCAAGCAGCCGCAAACCACTGTGACCCCCTCCTCGCACCACAGCCTCCAATGTCCTACTATTCCTGGAGCCCCGTGCCCCCTCTTCATCCCTGGACTCTTCGTCCAGGTCAGCCAAACTGATCTTAAGGTGGATACCCTCAAGAATTTGGGTGCAGCGGTCAATAATGTGCTGCATCTGCAGGAAGCTGGCAGCTGTCAGGTAGCTGATGATGTCTGCAAGCTGCAAGCAGAGACGGCCCGTGTAGCAAAAGGACAGCAGTTGCTCGAACACTGATGGATTACGGATCACTGTCAGTGACACAGTGCTCATCTGACTCAGAGACATGTGGTCCCGAAAGTATGGCGAGCTGGCTGCTAGTACGACCTTGTGTGCACGAAAGCTTTGGCCCTGAACATTGACCACAATGTCACAGAGACGGCCTTGAACACGCAGCTGGTTCAGGTGAGAAAGAACAGAGTTACTGAAGTCTGGGATGTCCAGCTGTATGCTGCCGGTACGCTCCATGCTGCAGCCTGCAGGGACACTGAAAACACAGCAACACATCAGTGCTGACCCACACCAGGACCTTTTTGCTTAAAACTGGCAAGTGATTCCAGATTAATAATATGGATCTCCTCATGGAAACCATCAGCACCATCAAGGATACCCTGTTTTATTAATCTGATTCCAGATTAATAAAACAGGATGTTATTTTCATCAATCTTCAATGAAACAGTGACATTACTGATTGGGGGTGTTGTGACTAATGCTACCTTATCATGGAAAGCAAATCCGTAAAAAGCAAAAACAAGTTACAGCCATATGGAATTTGCAGTGCATAATTAAGTTCAAGTTCTTCCACTGTTATCTTTTTCAATGTCATGTGCCAAAGTAGTGCAAAGAAAGCAAGTAAACTCTGCCCCTACAGAGTCGATTATCTTGTTAATAGTGTTACACCCTTGCTGCGTATAACTCAACATACTGTAGGTCCTCTGAAAAGAAAGCCTCAAATAAGAAGTACTAAACTCCCTGGTGTAACTCTCAAAGGCACACCTTAAAGTAAATAGCCCATAAGTTGGAGAGGAAATGGCAGAAATTTAGAAGATCAATGATTAGCCTGGAAAAAAAGTTTGCAGTTCTAAAAAAAAAAAAAGCCCCCCGTAACGCTAGGACATCGGACTATTCATTACTGATTGACGAAAAGCTGAACAGCCCAAGATTTCTCTTCAGCACTGTAGCCAGGCTGACAAAGCTCTGCTGAGCCAAGAATCGCTTTAACCTTAACTTTGTGAATTTCTTGACAAATAAAATTTTTACCATTATAAATCAATAATAACCATGTCATAGATGTATTACTATTTACAGCTGCTTTCCTTGATATTCAATTATACTTTTTTCCTCTCCAATTAATTTTTCTGAGTTAACTTCAACAATCACTTCCTCCAAAGTGTCGATTACGCCCCATTCTAATAAGACTGCTCAAAGAAGTTCTCCCATTAATGCTTTGGTAATGTCTCTGTGGAAAGTCTGGGTTAACTTATCGAATTGATAATCGGCTTTGTGTAACCTGATCACCAACCGATGTTAGGGTAAGTGAATCCAGAAAATGGAAATATACCCTGGATATGTTACACTCACTTTGTAGTAGAGCGCACAGACACATCATCCTGCATAACTGCCCAGTGAATACTTCAAAGTAGGGACTTAGCCGACTAATTGCTGATGTCTTCTCACTGGTCGATACAGACTAGTCATTTAATCCAATTGTTAAAATGTTAATTACCCAATGAAGGTAAATTATTGTGTCCTAAATGTTTGCACCCATCTGTCACCAGTTGGCGCATTGTTGTGGAGAAATGCCATAAATCTGTTCATCTTGGTCTCATCTTTTGTGAATGATAGTAGATACAAGTGGCGGACAAGGGCTTTCTCTGAAAGGTAGATGGGCTTTTCCTTAGCGATAGAGTGAAGAGTTCAGTCATTCAGGAGAGGTTCATAGTGTCGAGGTGCCGCACGTTTAAGGCATGATTCATTATTGAAGAATATAAATGTTATAAGACATTTTCAATTAAAAATCTCAAATCTACCTTAATACGTGACTATTTCTTAATTTTAGGCTAGTGAGTTAGTCTAATTTTTTTCCACCAATAGTGGACTATTAAATCAGTCGCCAGGAACATCCCTACTTGAAATCCTTCTACTTGCCGAGAACCATCATCTCTCAGAAACCTCAGCTCCTCCTGACTCTACCCATCCCTTGTGTTGTTCTTCTTGAATTTGGTCTCCAGCTTCCTCCCGTACGAGCTCTTGCATATCCTTAGCTTCGCCCTTAGGTCGTACGGCACTCTCCTCAGCTCTTTTGTTCCTGGAGGCACTCTCCTCAGCTCTTTTGTTCCTGGACCTTTTCATCTCTTTGTTCTTTCAGGTTACTACTGATCGAAGGCTTACTGTTCACAAAGCACACAGTGCTGGCTGGTACGATGGTGTGTTCACAAAACTTGACATATTCTATTCTTTAGCCAGTCAAATTTTTAAAACCCATCTTCCTATGCCTCCACAGCCTCATCCATCCACCTTCTGACAACTCCCATAGACACAGGTTTAATTTAAAAACAGGAACATACTATGGGGTCAGTAGGACTAGATTATAGTCACCAGGCACTGCATCTATTAATGGCATTCTGCTTCACATTTGCTATTCCCAAAGATTTCTATTTCACGATTCTCTGAGTGCCAAGTCTCTCACTTTTGTCTCTGAGCAGTCTTGTGTTTGTCTTTGCCTAGTATGCCCGTGGCTACCTAATGGTCAGGGAAGGGTTTAATCAGATACAGCCAGAAGTAATGGAAACAGCAGAGTTCCTCCAGCAAGTCTAATCTATGACTATTCCAATTCATCAGATGATTTTCAATCTTCCTGAGAATAATGACATGCTGATTTGACAAAACTGATTTTATTCATGAGCAGCAGGATAAGAACCCTCTGGTTTATTTTATGGTGCACTGGAGTGTTGTCTGCTGAATCAGGTCCGGGGAAGATCGGAGGGCTGTACCACAAAGTGAGATTAACGGGAAGAAGCTATGTTAAGTTTAAAGTCAGAGTTCTTAGTGTCATCAAGAGGTCTCTTTTTACCATGGCAACTTCTGCTGAACACAAAACCTGGTTATGGAGCAGGTTATGTTCCAACTTTCGATTTAAAATCAGCCGGGCCCTCCACAGTTTTATTCTTTTACTTACAGCATCTTTTCAGCGATTCTCTGTTGGAGAGTAGGGAATAGCCATGCCTTACTAACATCATCAAATGAAGCCCAACTGTGAAGTTACAGCAGCACAAACGGTCACTGGAATCTGAATGCATTCAGTTAGTGATGTGCAAACGTATACATGTTTAGTGTTTTTTACGCTGCTGGAATTACAGCCAATAGGGCTAAGGCTAAAAAAGTCATCATCTACATTTGTAGGCCAATACTTTCCAATTAGTATTAATTTTGCTCTGATCTGGTGATAAACTTAAGTGATTTCCATGTCTCCTGTACAATAGGCGATGGAGGAGCGTCAGACGTGAACACATTAACATTCAGTGTTTCAGAGCTCTAATGTGCAGCTGTCACCAAAAATACATGGCAAGTTTTAGGTGATTATAAGTTCACAAAATTAACAGTCCTCCTAAACATTTCTCTCTTATTTGCAGCGCCAGTGTTGCAGTTCATTGTTATATATTTTAATATATTTCTTGCAACCTTTATTACCTGTTTGTCTGCTGATGAAACCTATTGGAATAAGCAGTGCTCAGCTGCTGAGGAAGAAGAGTCAAAAGATACGTTTTCTTTTCCCTGTTTTCTGTGAGCATGCACAGAGCCTGGACCTGAAAGCCCTGGATAACGAAGGATGCTGATAACCATTATCGGTGGCTGGGCTTTTAGGTTTTGATAGTCGAGCTAATGCAGAGAAAGAAAGAAGGCTTGGCTGTGTTAAACTGCACCGTAGCACTCAGTTAACTATCGAGTTATCCCATCAAAGTTTTCTCATGTTAGTTATACTTTACACATATTACACTAATCAACAATTACTATTCACTAAATAACTGCAGTTTTTCTCTGTGTTTCCTGTCACATTCAGTGATGCTGTGTTTTGTAGGTATGAAGGGTCATAGACAAACATGCTCGTAGGTACAGACATGTGAAAGGCCTACCTCTACCACACAGGGGACCCAGATCCTTGGTGGTTGCTTTGCGTTTTTGTGTAGTGTTGTGTCTGCATGGTTGTTATTGCATGTCTGTGTGGTTTTAAGTTTGGGTTTGAGGTTCATCCTCCGTCTGTTGTTTTGCCTCTCTGGAGTTGTTTTGCAGTCATTCTTCATATTTCTTTTTTTTTTTTTTTGGAAAAGGAGTTTTGTTTGTACAGGATGTTCAGTTTGGTGTGACCCCTCTATTCAGCACTTTCTGTGATCAGGAGCACTTCCAGTAAGAAGTCTATTTACACCACCTCCTCAATAGAAACTCAAGTACTCTATCTGCTGTCAGGCTTTGCATAAAGCAGCCTCACACACTTTTAATTTGTATGAATCTGTACAGTGTGTTGACACTCATTGCACTGGCTCATTGCGATGCGCAAGGAAAATTTAGACCAGGCGCCAAAATCACACAAAGTGTGCTTCAGTCAGGGTCATGTTGCACCATAGTCCCTGCCTGTACAAAAGGCTGACAGACACCGAGGACCTCAAGTTACATCAAGACCTGATTAACCGATCAAAATGGAGGAATCGCGTTGAATTGACAGGTCACAGGGTAGATCACCTGTACTCTGATCAGGTCCAGCCTGCTCACAGGACAACTACCAAACCGATGCGAGTCGGTGTGTCTCGAGGGGGCAGGTGAACCTCCAGGTGTGCAGCCGGATTCTCACCTGAGGGGGAGGGAGCAGTGAAAAATGCTCGGGTCTGCTTTCGGGTTGCCGATACTTCAGTTCTGCAGCTTGCTGAGCATCATTAACGGACGGGAGATGACAGCAGCTCGGCTCGGCTCGGCCTGACAGGCTGCAGCTCCACCCGCGGCTCCTCCAGGCTCCGAGGCTCCAGCGGCGGTAGCGAGCTGTTCAAGACCCCGGAACGACAGCTGAGCGCGGGCTCCGGTCCGTCAGCAGGCGCTTTGCTGCCATTCCACTGTACCTGCGAGCTGGTTCAGGATCGGCTCAGTGACGGCGGACAGCCCAGACTTCACAGCCTCCTTTTCACGGCAGAAGGGCCGAGGCTGCAGGAAGGAAGGAAAGGGGGAAGAAAAAGCGCGCGGCGCGATGGGAAATGTAGTCCTAGCAGGGCAGAGCGCTGTTTTCAGCACAGCCTAAACACTACGGTTCCCTGCGTGCATTCGCCCAGAGACCATCTCCTGGTATTTGGAGTTTGACTTCAGCAGACCTAAAGTAAAACAACCGGACATGCTCACAGCTGGATTCAGAAAAGCTGTTTCTGCTTTCATAAGATATGAAACTTCATAAACCCCAGCATGTGATAAAAAGCCTTTTAGGTATTCAAAGTTCTACATTTGTACATTTCAACAGCTTTTTCAGGGAAGTCAAATGTACAACTTATAAACACCAGATCATTATAATGAAAATGTATTATGGCAAGGTATGAAGACTCGAAAGTTATTTTTACATTTTTGTTGACACCCGTAGTGAGTCTACAATAATATAATAATAATAAATAATATAATATTCATCCCTGCATGCAGGAATTATAGGAGAACAAAAAGCACAGATAATGGGCAACAGATTTAAGAAAAGCTAACCTACAGAAATTGTTTTTTTGAAACGAACCACAGATTTAGCACACCTGATGGCTGATGAAGGCAGTTTTGACGTTTGGCTATTACAAAGTGAAAGCGCGATCTCCTGTGGTTTCAAAATCAGAGTGTGGAGCAGTTAAGGGGGGCACAAGGGGCAGCGGTGCCCTGGTTAAAGCCAAGTATCAATGGTACAAAAATGTTTGATTTCTGAGAGGTAAAAAAGTAATTTACTGGACAAGGACCTGAAGCTAAGAAGGGAAATAACTGCTGAACTGTCAGGCTTTGGCGGTTTCACAGAGCACATAAACTACATGATTAATTCTGGATTTAGAAACTTGATTAAAAAAACTAAGACTATTAATTTTGTGCCCATTATTACAGTGATAGGTTAAACTGTAGTATCAGTAAAATATGAGGTTGGTGACCTATCATAACCAGGTCATTTTATCTTAAATTTTTGGCTTAATAATTGAGAAAATGGGCAATGAGAATGACTGAGCATAAGGAATGGGAGGAGCAGGTGTGAACATAGGAGGGCAAAGCAGAGTACTCAGTTAGTGAAACCTGTAAGTGGAACTGGTAGATAAAACAGAACTCACCACTATCTGGAAAAGAGGAAAAGGCAGGATCTAAACAGTCAGTCAGATGTAGCAGACTGGACAGTCTGGCTATAGAACCAGGCTGAGCACCGGACAAATGTGCTGGAGGACCTTGTCGCTCAGTCTGGCTCGTCGCCGACACCCCTCTACTAACCCCTGCCCTGGCAGTGACACTCCATCGGATGGGGGAAGAGGTCGACCCCTAGCCATCCCAATCCAGTTGAAGAATGGGTCCTGAGGTTGCTGCCATTATTATCAGAGGAGGACCTCAGCCTCCCTGCAGCAGCAACCATGCCATTCAGTTCATTTCAATTAAATTTTATGTATATAGGGCCAAATCACAACAACAGTTGCATCAAAGTGCTTTATATTGTAAGGTAAAGACCCTGCAATAATACAAAGAGAACAGAGAAAACCCTAACAATCATATGACTGCCTATGAGCAAGAGCTTTGGCGACAGTGTGAAGGAAAAAACACCTTTTTAACAGGAAGAAACCTCGAGCCATGACAAGTTGAAGTGAGGGGAGAAAGACTTAATAATAATTACAAATAATTAAATGCACTCACATAGTGAGTGTAAAAGGCGATGGCCCTGATGTAGGGTGAACAATGTTGGACAGGCTGGGCCTCTCCATGGAGGACCATCACTGCCTCTTCAGGGAGGGGCAGATGGGACCAGAAGACTGACCCTTCTTCTATGGCTTGCACCCTGGCCCTGAGGAAGAGAAGGCCGACTCCTGAACATCCGCATTGCGGGCTGCAGCCGCCAGCATCAATCAACACCTAAACCTGAGATTCAATATGTTCTGGACCTGAGAGCAAAGCTGCACACATTGAGCAGATTATATCAGGAGGAAATTTGCCCAAGGCCTAGGAATGTTAGCAGCACCTGTACAATAGAGGCACTAGGCTCAGGCAATTTTCACTGAGAGACATAGTACCTGTATTACTTCCTTCTTCTAGCTCAAAGTTATTCGCCAAGTGGCAAGGACACTTCGTGCGATGATATTTTTGGACAGGGGAGGAGTCACAGAGATATTTCACCTCAACCTGACAAAAGCATGGAGAGAGGCTGAAGGCCAGAGGTGCAAAATTTCCACAATTCTCACCTCCCTCCATTGTGATAACCATCTCACACAGGTCCAGAGAGCAGATGTTGCTGAAATGCTAAAAATATAGTAATATTAATATAAGAGTCAGACAGTGCGTGGTGTAGCCCAATAGATTTTGTGGTAAAGAAAGATGTGTCTATACGGTTTTGTGTTGACTACTGCAAGGTGAATGAAGTCTCAGAGTTTGACACTTTTTACATGCCCCAGGTTGACGAGCTCCTGGACTGGATAGGCTGGTTTTTTCACAGTACTGGATTTAACTCATTAAAACCTGATAAAACCTGTCAAATTATCTTGACTCTTGAACCACTGGCACAATTGAAAAAAAATTCCAATTGCTCCTGAAGGCATCAACTCTGTCCTTTTTCAGTGATATTAGGGTCATTACAGTAATCCTAAGAGGGGTGCAACGTCCAAATGTCTGCAAATAAAACAAGACAACATAGCAAACAGCAAAAACAAAATAAAACAAAACAAAAACAACTTAAAACAGACAAATGCCTGATAAAATGTCCGTTTTCTCCTTTCATCACACTCACTCTCTCTTCAAGTGACCTTTGCCTTCGTTGGGCTTGTGCGAGACCTGAATTTACCGTAATGACCCTAATATCACAGAAAAAGCGAACACATAATTACACAAATATCACAGAAAAGCTTAGAGCTTCTGCTTTCAGGAACCGCTGGAATTTTTTCAACTGAGAAAATGGTTCAGAAGTTACAGGAGTTACAGATGTTGAAAAAAAACGTCGCATAAACCATTTCTGACGCTAGTGATAAGTTGGATAAACCAAAGGCTACTGGCAGAAAAAAAGGGAAAAATGGCCTTCTCCACTCTGTCCCACATAGCAAAATTGGTATGACCCGGATCTGGCCCACACAATGTGCTTACACATGGCCCACATACCGCAAAGAATGACGGCCTTTTGGTGGCCCCGATCAGGTTTGCCAGAGGTGGCCCATACATGGGCCAGTTGGAGACACACTGGTGGTCCTGTACTGGCCCAGAACAGTTTCAGCTGTGGCTCTAGATGTCAGCCTAATGTGTACCTTAATCAAGCCATGTAATAACAACATGTACCATATTTAGCACAGATTAAAAATGTCTCAACAAAGGTAAAGCAGCAAATTTATTTTGAATTGAATAATTTTGATAATTTATAATTAACAATATATCAATTAATAATGCTTCTGGAACTGTTCAGACAGTGAATGGACTGATTCTTATATAACGCCGTTTCTACTCTCAAAGCGCTCGATACAACATCCACAGTCGCCCAATCAGAGCCAGCCAAACCACTAACAAACACAAACATGAGTAAACTCTCACAAATAAGTGTACAGTCACTAACCTGTCAAACCTGCATTTGAAACATTGGCTACCATAGCAGTGTAGTATTGCAACATGGTATTTGGGTCTTCTAACTAAAATAGGAACGTAAACAGTTCCATCATTGCCAGACCTGGCCCACATCTGGTTGACATACACTCAGCCATGACACCAGTCACTCAGAAGTGCCAGCTTGATGCCAGATCTGGGCCAGACCTGTTTTCTATGAGCCTGGGCCACATAAACCAAATCATAATCAGGTCAGATGTGGTATGCCATCACATAAATAGAGCCATCTACACCAGGGCTGGCCCATATCTGGATGACATAGCAGTTACCATGCCAGAAGTCAGCCAGCAGTGTCGGCTTGACACCTTATCTGGGCCAGACCCGTCTGCTATGTGGGGTATGGTTTGTAGCAGTCTGTGACACTTCAGTTCGGCGTGTCTAGAGCCAGCCACTTTCCAGGGCCTCTTGGACTGGGTGCTGGGTCTGCATGCTCCATATGCTGATGGCTATCTGAATGGCATGATCATCCATAGGTAACGACTTCTGTGGCAGGTGTAGTTTGTGCCTCAGCTGCAGGTGATTGGTGGAGCAGTGATTCAGGGTGTGGTGTCAGGGAAGGCTGACCTACAAAGCTGACCTCCATCATCTGATCATGCCTTCCCTTTCGAGTAGGACCCTAGAGCCTAGTGGGAGAGCAGTGCAGTGTGCAGCTGGACTGTGTTGTAAAATGCCTGGCAAAAAAATGCCTGTGTGTTGGGTCCTTCTTATCAGACTTTCAAATCCAAACATACAAACAAATGAAACCATAGATGTCCATAAATTTAACTATGCGTAATAATTTGAAATGACACAGGGAAAAAGTATTGAGCACATAAAGATATGGAGGTGCAAAAAGGCATATTGTCTTCATAATCAGGATACGATAGGAAAACCAGATTAAGGCTTTGTGATCTTATGCAAGAGAAGAATGTGAGCTACATTGTGTTTAGAGGGGAGAATTTTGTGACAGGGTATCAGGCAGAGTCTCTGCTTATTCGCCTTCATGTAGGGGTGGTTGGCCCCTTGAGTGCTTTCAGCCCCCAACGCACATCCAGTACCCACCATGTAGTTCATGTATTTGGACATGAGAGGTCACAATAGTAGGTTTTGTCTTTTAGTTCTTCTGCTTCTTCTTCTTCTTTGTTTTTGGAAATAAAGGGAGATTCAACTGAATATAATAAGCAACATGTTTTCCTCTGACGACAGATTAATTCATTCAAAGTCATCTGACCTTGCTAAGATTCAAAATTACTGTCAGCAGTGATGAATGATGTAACAGATAACAGAAATACCCCCCTCCCCTTTTAATCACCTTAAAGCATCCAGACAATTAAACTTTCTGACTTTGATCTGGTGAGTTAAATAGCGCAAGGGTTTGATACTCACCCACTAA